TATATGTAGATATCATCTGAGTGTTCCATGCATTACTGTGCACAGTATACATACTACAGAAATAATATGAGTAGAATGGTATTGTGCTTTTCCAACCATTGCCTTTCTCTCTATTTCATCCTGAGTAGAATAAAATAAAATATGGTGCCAGTGTAGGGGATTATGGGTATGGGAGGGGGAGTCTATGAAGACAGTGAGTTCTGGCAGTGCAGCACATCTGACTATTGACTTCTATAAATTCACAGTGATTATGTTATAGAAGAAAAAAGTGCAAAGTTGCAGAAGAGAGACAGCGAAGGATTCGGCTTTGTGCTTCGGGGAGCTAAAGGTCTGAAACACACTCACATGCATGCATGTTTGCACGAATAACATTCACATACAAATGCAGTAATTAAATGCTCTTTCTTGTCAGCTGAGACGCCCATAGAAGAGTTCACACCTACTCCTGCTTTTCCTGCCCTGCAATACCTGGAGTCTGTGGACCTGGAAGGGGTGGCGTGGAGGGCAGGGTTAAGGACTGGAGATTTCCTCATAGAGGTTAAAAACCTTTTGATTTACACACACACACACACACACACACACACACACACAACTTTTTCTTTGCTAAAGCAGTGATTTTCAAACCATATATTCAAAAACTGGCCTAAATTAATCATTGTATTTAACAAAAAGAAGAAAGAAAACATTTAATTATTTGACTAATCTGAGAAGTCTTATACGTCAACAGAGAAGTCTGCCGTTTGATTCAAAATTACAAGCTCAATTTAAAAAAAAAATCATCATTCACAATAAGATCAATAACATGCATTTAGAAAATAGATTGGGTGAATTTCAGTTTCATGCTGACATTTTTAGACTAAAGAATGTCATCATGCTTCTGCTGGATTTCTACCGGCTATGTGTTACATCTTTCTCTAATTCTCCGCACATTTGTCAGGTAAATGTGGTGAGCGTAGTAAAGGTGGGACATAGGCAGGTGGTATCACTGATTCGGCAAGGTGGAAGTCGGCTAGTAATGAAGGTGGTGTCTGTCACACGCAAACCTGACACTGGAGACGTCGTCCGCAAGAAAGGTTCTTGTCCTCTCTTCATTAATGCATGCACACCATGCATTTTTCTTTTTGTTTGACTGGAAATCAAGAATTAGAGAATCCTGCAAAATCTAAATATCGCATTTCTTGCTCTTTCTGACAATTAATTAGCCCCACCACCTCCCAAGAGAGACCCAAGCACCAGCCTGACCCTGCGCTCAAAAAGCATGACTGCAGAACTGGAGGAGCTGGGTAAGACAGATGCTCATACAAACACGGATGCACACACCTCCTTGTGTTATGCTAGGTCTCAGATAAGTTAAGTTAAAACAGATGTTATCATTATCTTTGAGGGCATAGGCACATGTTGGATCCTTTTTTCCAGGAACACTAATTGAGAAATACGTGCAAATTAATGTCTTTTCGTGAGAAAGATACAGCAGTGAAAGGAGTTTGAATGATTGTGCAGTGATAGCTTTGCTCATTCATTGCTAATGAAAATTGACCATCTAATACGCAATCTATGAGCTAAACCAGGAACTATAGATTTGTCCTTCTTGTCCACAAGCGTCAAGGAGAAGGAGGGGAGGTAAGATATGAAACCAGTCTCACGTTGATGATGTCCTTTACTGGTTCTATATGCTGATTAGCATGTGATGTCATGGATGGATTTATCTAACCTGTTTTTTTAGCTTGTGTGTTGTTGCCTGTGACTGCGAAAAATTGTAAAGTCAAAGTATGTGTATGTGTTTGTTTGTTTTTTTGTGGATTGTAGACAGCTATTATGTATGTGTTTTGTGATGTATTTGTGACTGTATATTTGTTTTCGCGTTCCTTGAGACTATGTATATTATACACTTGGGATCTGTGTACTTGTATTTTTTGGTGCACCTGGTGACTGTGTTTGGTCTTTTTTGATTTGATCAGAGGAAGGACTGGAATATTGGTCAGGAGTGTGTATTAAGTGTTTCTGTATGTGTGTGCATCTGTGTGTATCCCTCACAGAGAAGTTGGATGAGATGTTGAGTTCGCCCAAAGAACCGGTTGTAGTGATGAGGCCACGTCCTGCGGATTCAGACTCCAGAGCAGCCACTGTGAAACAGAGACCAACAAGTCGCCGCATCACACAGGCTGAGATCAATGTTAGTCTGATACACATAAACATACACCATTTTAAAAAATGGTGTACTTTTAAGTGTTTTTAATATATTATAATAATATAAAAGTTATCATTATGTTTTCATTAAAACTAAATACAAGAGCACTTGTTATATATGGCAATATGTAGTTTCTGACATACTATGCATTGTATGCAACAGATGGTGCATATATCACTACTATAGTACAGTAGCCAAATTGTGTCAGTAAAGATTTGGCTGCTGATCAGTTTTTGTTTATAATACATATTGTCTTTAGGTTAAAAAATTAAATTTGCTGTGATTGCATTTTCTGTTTATTTCTTTGATAGCTGATTAATCAGAATCTGTGATTTGTTTGTTGTTCTGACAGTAACTGAATTCTGGCCAGTATTTGATCACGTATTGTTTTTGTTTGTGTGTAGTCTCTGTTAGAGAGGCAGGGTTTGCAAATAAGTTCCCTGGCTGTGGACAAAAGTCACATGGAGCTGCCTCGGGGAATGTCAAGAACCAAGTCATTTGGTAATGTGTCATTGGCACATACACAAATACAAACATTCTCACAAATTCTGTCTTTTCATAAACATAAACCAATGATATAAAAAGGGCTATTAAAACACAATGATCACCAGAGTTCTAATCTTTGTACACCCACAGTCTCACCGAGAACTGTTTTACAGGTGCTCCTGAAGATGAAAGAATCTCAGCCCTGATTGGAGAGCATCGCTTTCCGAGAAGCTCCTCGATGACTGACAGCTTTAGACAAGATAGTATTCCACCCCCTCCACAGACAGCTCCTCCACCACCTCCAACTCCCTACTTCCTAGATTCAGGGCCCCCTCCGTCCTTTCTTCCACCTCCGCCCCCTTCTCGCGCTGCCAACCAGAGCCGTTCAAGCTTCCGCCCGGGGGCGGAGCCCAAACTCCATGGCCCAGTCACGACAGACCGCCAGCGAAAAACACGCTCTATGATCATTCTTCAGGACACCACCCATTTGCCAGTGGAGCCTGCCCCTATTGCAAGACCACAAACGCCTACCTCTGGAGCGGTTCCACCTGAACGTGGTCGTAGGCGTGGACCACCTGTGGAGAATCCATATGCTAATGTAGGTCGTCTAAGTGCAGTCTATACTCCTACCAAGCCCCAGCGTAGAAAGAGCCCACTAGTCAAACAAGGACCAGTTGAGGAGGGAGCCGTTACTCAGACTAGTAGAGACCCCTCTCCTTTGGGAGGGTTACGGATTCCCCACAGTAGCCGAGCAGAGCAGTTCCAACAGCAGGTTCTCTCGGAGCGAGCTAGAATTATGCCTCCAGGGGCCCGACGCAGACCCAGCGTTTTCCTATCTGTAGAAGGGGGCGCGACTGAGCCGCAAACAACCCCGTTACTTTCTCAGTCCCACTCAGTGGATGAGTTGGCCGAGTTGCCTCCACCTGCACCAATGCTTTCCCCTGGCCCACCACCAGGGGGCACCACTTTTATACACCCTCTAACAGGTCGACCACTGGATCCTTCCTCACCTCTAGCACTTGCACTGGCTGCACGAGAACGTGCCCTTAGTGGCCGGAATACACCCACTCCTACGCCTTCGCCCACACCTTCGCCCACTCAAGGTCGAGCAGTTGAAAGGCCAGAGACAGAAGGAGGAGCGACACCACCTGCTCCTCTTGAGGCTCCTCCATCTAATTCCTGGAGAGACGAACCGGTCAGCATCACAGAAACGGCAAGCCAAGTGACTAGTGGTAGCCCTGGGTCTGGACGAAGCCTGGAAGAGGTACTTGTCCCACCCAGCGTGCAAGGTGTCCAACCTGCGCTGATGGATACAGAACATACCCCACCGGCAGTCCCACCCACTCTACCTTCCCCAGCCCCTACCCTCTCAAATCTGACTGCTCGAAGTCTGACTATGAGCTCAGAGGAGGATGCAGAGCCTTACACCGTGACACTTCCCCCTGCGTTGCTCTCGTCCAGTGATGAGGAAACCAGAGAGGAGCTTCGGAAGATAGGCCTCGTGCCACCCCCTCAACCCTTAGGCCTCGTGCCGCCCCCTCAACCCTTCTCTAATGGCCTTCTAATTAAAGAAACACCCAAAGCCACTCTAAGCATTTCACCTAGCAGATCACGGCCATCCATTGCAAAGACCTCCTCTGGAAAAGCAAGCGATTCTACGGCAGACTCTGGGGTTGAAGACCCACATATGGAGACCACCAGTACTGTTTCCACAGTCTCCAGCATGTCCACTTTGTCTTCAGAGAGCGCAGACTCTGCTCATGCTAGCAAACCACGTTCTGGGGTGGGGCGTGGTCGCCCCGCACATCTCAGGGACCCACTGCTTAAACAGTCATCAGACAGTGAGTTGCTTCCACACCCACCCAGCACAGGCCCCAGCCGTCCACGCTACCTATTCCAAAGACGTTCCAAACTCTGGGGGGAGGAGCCCCGGGGCCAGATGGGTGGGTCTGATGAAAGTCGGCCTGCTGCTATGGGGGCAGAGTTGCTAAGCAAAGACACTCATTCTCTGGGGGAGGAGCCACCGATGGGAGCACCTCTTGACCCTGGCAGGAGATCACCTGTGGGAGGCGCCAGGTAGGAAATACCTGTTAAAAACTGCACCAACTTAACAACAGCAGCACATTTTGCACACCTGCATGAATCACAGCACAACTTTCAATAACATTTAGCAATACACCCACTTGACTTTTGACACCCTTAGCCACACACCTGGTTAAAACTGCCTATCCATAACACACGTGTGTGTGTGTCTGTATGTCCTTGCAGATGTGAGGAGAATGGAGAAGAGAGTAAATCGTAGGTTTTTAGCTCTGTGGGTAAAAACAACTCCTTGTCTAACTAACTTTCACTAAACCCTTTACTGCAGCCGTTAATCAAGCTGCAAATGCTACTGTGGGCTTGTATTAAAGGCTTATGGTAGTTCATTATGCAGTAACTGAGGCATTTCAGCTTCTGTCTGTCTTTGCGCAACGAAACTGGAATTTTCAGTGTACCGCTGAGGGCCAATCAAATTGCTTTTTCATAAAAAGTAAATGAAACAAATGTTGAATCTACATTTAGTTTGTATTGCTGCATTGATTGTGGTAAGTTTATTGCAGCAAGTTTCGGATGTTTACAAAATGAATACTGATTGCATGCTGTGGTGGAAATACTGTGAAATGCTAATGCACCATTTTTATACCCATTCTGAGGACTCCAGTTTTATATTAACTGCTCTAACTGTCATTTTATTGCATTAAGTTTTCTGCATGCTCTGCACTATTTAAACCCCAATGCTTACAGCATTGGATTCACTTTCCTTTTCTCTCACATTAGCATCCCAGTAGTTTCCTAAAAGTACTGCAGTTAAAACTCTACCTTTGTTTTCTTTTTTGCTTCTGCTACATCTTCCTCTTTCATATTTTTCCTTTAATTGTCTTTTATGTTTTCACTCTCTCTCTTAGACTCTTTAGTAGTTTAGGGGAGCTTCACACCATCTCTCAGCGAAGTTACGGCACCACCTTCACAATCCGTCCTGGCATTCGATACCCAGTGACCCGTAGAACTCCAAGCCCTGGAGCCACACCAGAACGGAGTGAACCACTGGGGCCGGTCCGTACATTCGGCCCTCATCACCATCATCACACAATCCTCAAGTCTTCTAGCCTAAGTTTGCCCCAGGAGCCCAAGGAGGTGCGTTTCGTCATGAGGAGCGCCAGCGCTCGAGCCCGCAGCCGTTCTCCATCCCCCTCTCCATGCGCCTCCCCCTGCCCTTCACCGGTACTGGGAGCCCCTCTCCTAGCCCTGCGGCCATTCAGACAGCGCCCCCTAGCACTGTGGAGTAAGTATGATGTGGGAGAGTGGCTAGAGAGTGTGGGACTAGGAGAACATCGTGCCCGTTTTTTGGAGCACGAGATTGAAGGCGCCCACCTGCCTGCACTGACCAAGGACGATCTGGCAGAATTAGGGGTGACGCGGGTGGGACACCGAATGAACATTGAACGTGCACTGAAGCAGCTGCTGGAGAGTTGAGGAGAGCCAAAATGCAGGATATAGTCCCATCACAAAATTAATTTTTACTATTAAAATTTCAAGTTATTCCGAAGTCTAACACCATAGTTTCCAACCCACATTTTTTTTTTAGCATTGCTCAGCCCTTATATAATATAGATTTTACCCAAGCACCAACGATTTAACTCCCACAAAACCCACCATGTTTCTTCACTAGTTTGCCACCTACTAAGAGTAAAAATAACATGCTGGACAGTGTGGACCTACTGCGCAATATCTACTATTTACAGCTACAGATCTAAGAAAATCAAACTGGCCATGTTTTTAACTGGGTCTTCTGCACAATAACAAATGATATAGCCAGCAAGCAGCCATTTCCTTCACGTGCCATGTTTTACAATCAAATGATGATGATGAAGGTGTGGCAAACATACAGACTGCTCTCACATTATCAGAGGAAGTCTGAGAATATCTTCACCATCTGGATTTGTGTGCATTTCCTGCTTCCAGGAGAGAGACTTCTGAATTTTAGAAAGCAGCGTCAACTTGAGTGCAAAGGGAAAGGAAAGAGCAGAAACCTCTCCTGTAAACAATGCCAATGCTTCCAAGTGCCCGGAATTTACAGTATGTTGTACTGACCATCTTGCAACTCAATAGTAGATAGCCATGTTAATGGTGATTATAAGATGCGTTGCAGTAACTGGACTTGGCATGTGAATGCAACATGTCCAAGTAAGAAAGGATCTGACAATCTGCCCTAAACCAGGAGAATAAAACTTCTCCCAATACAATACCATATTTTATTGCATTTTTTCAAAATGTATTGTGGGCTATTTACTCACAAGTTACATATTGTTGAACCTGGTAATTATTATAAAACATGTTTCTCATGAGAGCACAGCAACATTTTAAGCTTAAAACATTACATCATAACATAAAGTTGATGGTATGTTTTTATGATGTTCACTTGTTTAACTTGTCTAAAAACACATGATCCAGATTTACAATTATGATATTGAAATGTATGCTTAGAGGACAAACTTCACCAAAAAAGTCATAATTTAGCAGGTTTGAGGACATTGTCAGTGCTACTGAAAACAAGCATTTATGGGGTTGGACTTTTGACTCAAAACCGTTGGTTACTGACATATAGCTCTTGTGACAACTGTCCTGCATGGTCTCCATAAAATGTCTAACAGATCAATAACTCATGCATCAAGTTGACTTATATCTTTCAATCATATTTTAAAGTAGTCTTCTAAAGTGAGCTATTTAATGTTATGGACACATTGCTCCGAATATCAAGCTGAGATAGGCTAACTAGCCTACAACAATGGCGTTGTTTTCATTCATAGAAGTTTTCAAGAAGTGTTAAAAATAATTTGTATTACGTAAGATATATGTAATTATCAAACAAAAGGACTACTGGAATTCGTTGGCAGTCAATGCTGTAATTTCATGTTATAGCCTCGGGTTTCAACAGATGTACTGTATGCCAGTACAGGCGTGTATTGACAGTATGACAGAGTCAGATTGAGAGGAGGCTGGTTAATGTGTACCTGACATATGCTCTGAAAGAGTGCAGTGATTCGGACGGTCCACCGCTATTTACTCTGCAGTGTAAGACAAGGTAAGTGTTTGCTTTTACATTTGTTCATGTTTATCTGTGCAACCAGTCAGATGTTGGGTTTGAATATCAAGTAGACTTATGCTAATTTTAGACAAAGAGAAGAACATTTGTTAGGCCTACATTTTTTTCGGTTATCTCTGTGTAAACAGAATTTAATTAAACACTTGCTTTCTAAATTACCAACCAAGAGATAAAAGAAAATGGCAGATTCTAATAAAATGCCTACTGAGACAGCCAAGGTTAAAACATTAGCAATGCATAAATAATTGAAAAACCAAAGTAAATATAAAATTTTTTAGAACTACATGGAAAAATGTCAAGTAGTCTATTAATATTCAGTGATAGTTCAGGTTGCATGTCTTAAATGATTAAATGCTTTATTAGCTACAGAGATTATCTTTCATGATCTACATAAAACATAAGTGTTTTCCAATGATACACGTTATGGGAGATGTCAACACTAACTTGAAATCTTTGAAAAACACCCATATTTTATTGCATTTTTTCAAAATGTATTGTGGGCTATTTACTCACAAGTTACATATTGTTGAACCTGGTAATTATTATAAAACATGTTTCTTATGAGAGCACAGCAACATTTGAAGCTTAAAACATTACATCATAACATAAAGTTGATGGTATGTTTTTATGATGTTCACTTGTTTAACTTGTCTAAAAACACATGATCCAGATTTACAATTATGATATTGAAATGTATGCTTAGAGGACAAACTTCACCAAAAAAGTCATAATTTAGCAGGTTTGAGGACATTGTCAGTGCTACTGAAAACAAGCATTTATGGGGTTGGACTTTTGACTCAAAACCTTTGGTTACTGACATATAGCTCTTGTGACAACTGTCCTGCATGGTCTCCATAAAATGTCTAACAGATCAATAACTCATGCATCAAGTTGACTTATATCTTTCAATCATATTTTAAAGTAGTCTTCTAAAGTGAGCTATTTAATGTTATGGACACATTGCTCCGAATATCAAGCTGAGATAGGCTAACTAGCCTACAATAATGGCATTGTTTTCATTCATAGAAGTTTTCAAGAAGTGTTAAAAATAATTTGTATTACGTAAGATATATGTAATTATCAAACAAAAGGACTACTGGAATTCGTTGGCAGTCAATGCTGTAATTTCATGTTATAGCCTCGGGTTTCAACAGATGTACTGTATGCCAGTACAGGCGTGTATTGACAGTATGACAGAGTCAGATTGAGAGGAGGCTGGTTAATGTGTACCTGACATATGCTCTGAAAGAGTGCAGTGATTCGGACGGTCCACCGCTATTTACTCTGCAGTGTAAGACAAGGTAAGTGTTTGCTTTTACATTTGTTCATGTTTATCTGTGCAACCAGTCAGATGTTGGGTTTGAATATCAAGTAGACTTATGCTAATTTTAGACAAAGAGAAGAACATTTGTTAGGCCTACATTTTTTTCGGTTATCTCTGTGTAAACAGAATTTA